ATTTCTCTGTGTTTTTGTTTCTTGCATATGCAGGTTAAAGGGAAAATTCTGTCTTTTAGTCTTTCATGTGTCATTCATAACCTGTATAACTTTAAAACACAAAAAATAATTCAGTAAATAATTGGAAGATTTTTTTTCACATCTAATGATCAGTCTTCAGAATATCTTGTTGTCCCATCCATGGTAAAGAAACTCATACATGGTTGAAACAACATGAAAGAAAAGTTATATTATATTGTTTTTGTTTGTTTCCTCTAGGCAACTTGCCCCATCTGTCAAAATGAAATGCCTCTTGATGTGATAGAGATTCACGCAAGTTTTTGCACAGGTGACAGGTGAGGAAAATAATTGTTTTTTTGAAAGCGTACAACATATTTCCAGTCAATTCAGTGATTTTTAATTTCCGCTCTCTGTCAGCTGTACCCCAGCGGCTTGCCGTGCCGGCTCCCTTCTTGAGGCAGGCTCCGCTCTTGCTACCTGGCGGGCTGCCGGCCCCGCCCTGGCCTCCTGCCCTGCCGGCCGCACCCTGGCACCCTGGTTTACCTCTATCCCCAGGGTCTCTTCCACTACACGGGCCTGGCCCACCATCCCTCCCCCTGATCCACCTCCATTCCGCCTCCCTCCGGGATTGCTCTTGGTGGAGCGTCTGGAATCCGCTCCTTAAGGGGGGGGGATTCTGTCACAGTCTTCAGCGGGTGTGCCCAGGAGGGCCACCAGATGACTGTGTTCTGGGAGCACATGGCTTGTGTTGTTTGTCTGTTGCCATGTGCTCTCTCCTGTCTATTGTCTGGCCCCTCCCATCTTGTTACCTCGTTATTGTTTAAGTTGCTCCACCTGTGTCTCCCTCGTTAGCCTCCTCGTTTGGTTTCCTATTTATTTTCCTTGTGTCTGTCATCCTGTGCTGATCCGTCATTTCTCATTGTGTGTGTTTCGTGTCTGCATGTGTGCAGCTTTAGGCCTGCCTGTCTGTTTTTCCCCTTCGGGGTGGTTTGAGTTTGTTTTTGTTTCATTTTTTACTAAAATAAAATCCCAATTCTCCAGCGATTGAGTCCTCGCTTCATCTCCCCGCATGCACGCTAACACTTTTAATGTCTGGGATGTGTTTACACTGCAGAACAAAACAAAGGATTGTCGAGTTCTGTTTAATACAGAATTTATTTTACTCATAAATTGAAGAAACTCATCATAAAAGCCCATAGGAAAATCTTGTGGGAACCAGAGGGTGGTGTTTTGTCATCATACTTCCACTACTCTATTTCTCAAATGGGAAACTTTTTTTTTTCTTCTTCTTCTTCTTTGAACTGCCCTTGATTGAAATATAATTATTATTTTTTTGGCTTTATCTAGCATCCAGCTCTGACCTTAAGGAGTTGGTGAAATTTTGGCTGGGGTGGGAAGTGCCAGATAGAAAGATGGTAGTGGAAGTTGTTACTGCTGACATGCCGAAGTCCTCCACTTGCTTCAACATGCTACGATTACCGAGTCATTACATGGGTTTCAGCCATTTTAAGGGCGGGCTCCTTAAGTGCACTGGCACGTCTGAGTTTGGTTTTGGGCTTGTATAGTTATGTGAAATTGAATACAATAATACAGACACCATGTCTATAAATTAAGTTTGACCAAAAATTAACTTTTTGGTCAATTTTGATGCAGTTCATCTACACCCACACGTTCATGTAGAATTGCGGTTTTATTTTTGAGAAGGGGAAACCACTATGCAATAGTTTTCAACAGAGCAATTTAGCTCTCCATAGTGCCAATGTACTTAATTAAACAGTTCTTGAAAAAAAAGAAAAACATTTATTTTCCATCAAATAAATTTACATTCAGTTCCAGCACTTCATGGACTTGTTGGTCAATTTTGATGCAGTTCATCTACACCCACACGTTCATGTAGAATTGCGGTTTTATTTTTGAGAAGGGGAAACCACTATGCAATAGTTTTCAACAGAGCAATTTAGCTCTCCATAGTGCCAATGTACTTAATGAAACGGTTCTGGGAAAAAAAATATTATTTTCCATCAAATAAATTTACATTCAGTTCCAGCACTTCATGTGTCTACTTAATGTGCCATTACTCAAGTGACTGGCAAAACTGCACTGCAGCCGTATAAATGTCTGTCCCGTGGGATTGGGATGGTGATCTTGGATCCACTGTGTCCTTCAGTGCTGCAAGTTGCTCTGGTGTAAGTGGACATTCTACAGTAGGAACATTAACACCAACACTTTCATCAGGAGGCAATCCACTGCTTTCCCAATCAATATCAGCAATGTTCAGTTCCTAGGTAAACAAAGAACAACATTTCTGTATAAATGGTATACAATCTCAGTTCCTGTAATAGTTAAAAATACTACATTTATATGAGTACTACAATGCTAATTAAGTGTTTAAATGTAAGTGAAGGAAAATGTTAATTCTCACAACCCCTGTAATATTTCAAACAAAAAAATGTAAACATGTCTGTAAATTTGCATGAACAATAATACCTCTTCATCTTGGGGATCATCAACTGGATAATGAATTTGACCCAATTCCCAGAGCTGGTTTGGAGACATGTTGTGTTCTGTTCTCAAAGGGTGATTATCCCACCCATCTCGGAAAAGATTTAGATCATCTTGTAGCCTTGGTAGGAATGTGTAGTGGCAACAGAAGAGACGTGTTTGGTCTGCGTAATGACCATAAAGTTGGTCAAGACAATGTTTTAATACTTAACATAATGCTCATTTATAAAGCATAATATAATGTTCCTGGTGAAGAACATTAATAAAAATTAAGTGGAGGCTACAAAAAATAATTTTTATAAAATTCTCATATTGTGAAATATTATTATTTAAAATAATGTTTTTTATTATACTTATTTATACTTTAAAATATAATTTATTTCTGTGATCAAAGCTGAATTTTCAGCATCATTACTCCAGTCTTCAGTGTCACATGATCCTTCAGAAATCAGTATAATATGCTGATTTGATACTCTGTTATTATCAGTGTTGGAAATGGTTGTGCTGCTTAATATTTTCTTGGAATCTCTGATAATTTTTTTCTGGATTCATTAAGGAACTAAAAAGATTTGGAATGACATGAGGGCGAGTAAATTATGACCATTTTCATTTTTGGCTGAAGTATCCCTTCCCTTGGGGAAGTCGTGGCCTAACGGTTAGAGAGTCGGACTCGTAACCCAAAAACAGCAAGGGTACTACTACGGCTAAGGCACAGAAATGTAGTAAGGACATTGTTAAAATGGTCCATGGACTATTTTAACGATGTCCTTACTATGTTTTTGTGCCTTGACTGTGGTAGGACCCTTGCTGTCTGTGAAGGGTCAGAGAGCTTTCAGATTTCATCAACAATATTTTAATTTGTGTTCCGAAGATGAGCAAAGGTCTTACATGTTTGAAACGACATGAGTGTGAGTAAATAATGACAGTTTTTATTTTTGGCTGAAAACAAACGTGTGTAATTTTATCTTTATTACTCCATACCACAACTTACCTAAGAGGGAAGCCATATCTTTCCACAGACTCTTGGAAGAAGGTCAGCGCAGTCAATGCTGAATTGTTTGTGGCAGACGTTTTTACACCATTAGCCTTTTTGTGCTGTTTGCTTAAACTTCATTTACATACGTTTTTGACAGTTAAGCTTAACATTTACCCTTAAAAATGAACCATGGTTTTACAAGTTAAAAAAAATATACTTAACTATGGTAACCACAAATTAACCATGTCATAAAATCGTTTTTAACAGGACTGACTTTATATTTAACGTGAATTAGTCAAAACATTGTAAGTAACTAATTATAACCATTTCATTGTACAGAAAGAGAGCAAAGAACATTATCATTGACTTCAGTCTAGCTAGAGTTCAAGCACTCTCAAAAACTCGAATTATGATCACTGAAGCTGTTTACACTGTGAAATGAATCTCTTACATTGTATGCACATCTGTACTTTGTTGTTTATGATGAGAGAATTCGCCAGAGAGCAGCGAGCGTGCGCGTTTCAGCAAAGACTCATCTGAACGCCTCTGATTGATAATTTCATTCATAAGCACAACAGAATCGTGTGTGATTGGTTATAATGCACATAACTGTAAAAACGCGTCTGTCTCTGGCTCAGCGCCATCCAGCAAACGCAGATTTGAATTTAGCAGACGTGCAGCACTGAATGTTCTAATCACACTGGTGTGATCGTATATTAAATATAAAAACTATTATTTGGCTATTTCTTTTTTTTGTCTTTGGGAAGCTGCATTCAAAATCCACTTGGCTCAAAAATCTGAGGGGGCACGGCTGAAACCGCGTTCCGGGAGGAGCGGTATTTCGGCTGGGTCCCCCCCTGGCCTAGTTCCCCGAGTACGTGCCCAGTAGGCCCGTGCGTTAATCCGTCTCTGGAGTTATGACGCTTACACCTTGTCTAGACTGGACGCGAGAGGTGCGAAGTGCCGCGACAGAAAACAGTAGAACCTGTTGATTATAATCAGTGATAGTGTCTACACTGAATGGGTCAATCTGTGACAAAAGCTGCTCAATTTGCTCTCTTGCGGGTTGCGGCCTCTGAATTTCAGGCACATTGACCCCAAAGTGAGTGCCTTCAGCATCTCCACTCTCTTGTCCAACTGCAGCAGAGTCTGAATACTGCACCTAAAGGTAAACAAAAAGTAATTTGTAAATTTCATGCTGGTAATTTTAAATCAAGGGTACCCAATGTTATTCCTGGAGATCCACCTTGCTGTAGGGTTCACAGTTCCAACAAACCTGTCTGTAATTACCATATTCCTGAATGAGTTTGTTCAGGTGCGCTTCATTAGGGTTGGAACTTTGCAGTAGGTAGATCTCCAGGAGCAGGATTGGGTACCAGTTTTAAACATTCCTACCATAGAAAATCAGTAACAGACGCTGAAAATTGTAGGGTATCCCTCTGTACAATAGGGCAAAAAAAAAAACCACAAAAAAAGATCACCAGATCAAACCCAGGAATGCACAGTAAGAAAAAATTATTACCTCAGGGTTACTTATTGGATTCTGATACTGGCCAGTCTCCCATAGTTGATTTGGGGTTAAGCTGCTCTCTGTCCTCAAGGCTGGCTTGTATGCGAGGTAAAAAAAAACATAATGACAGCAGAAGAGGTGGGTGAAGTTGCTAAGATCAAGAAGTCCACAGTCCTCAAGACGATGTAAGATGTCGTAGTAGACTGTGGTGACGCACATTCGAACATGATCTCCACGTACTCTTTATGAAAATTAACAAAAAATAAAAGAGAAAATTAAACCATACAAGTTATGATACCATCAAATAAAGTAAATCAAGGAATCATTAAAAAAATATTTAAATATATTATTTGTTTTTTGGCATAACAATAAAATCGATACTAATTGGATGAAGGGCAAAACTGTAGAGCATAAAAGAAAAATATATATATAATTATAAGTCTGTTAAATTTGTGGATAATAAAACATTACCTTAAGGGAAAGCCAAACTCTTCCACTGCCTCTTTGAAAAATCGAAGGGTTGTTTCAGAGCGGTTATTGTCTGCGATGCGCAAATACATGATCTGAAAAATAAATAGCACTCATTCTGACAAACACTACTTTGAAAAAAAATTATAATAATAAAAGAACAAAAGCATGCCAAGACTTTTTTTTTAATAAAGTGACTGGTTTCCACTTAAAAGCAGGTTTAAATGTACCTTTCTTGAATATCCATCCACACCCCCAAAGATAACCATGTTGTATCTAGGAGAAAATATCAAAGCAATGGCATGTTGCATGACAAAAGGATAACAAAATGACAGAAACATTTGTCATCATATTAGATTTCCCTTTAAACCTAAAATGCATAGACAACTGTATAACCCACAAAACTGTTACATATTTTGGTAACTAACTGTAAATTATAATTGCACATACATAACATTTGACAAATTCTGAAAAACTTAATTTACCTTATGAGCTTATGGTTTGTATCTATATGTACAAGATACTTGGGGTATGGTACAGAGTAAGTTCGCCGAGCAACACAACCAAGCTGGGACATCCGTGAGAGAATGCCGATACCATCAATACGATGCATAGATGCACGAATTCTGTCCCACTGTACTCGGTGTCCTTTGGCAATGAGGGCTCCTCTGACAACCCTGTACCCTATGTTTGGCATAGTGCTCTTGATTTCAGACACTAAAGAATCAAGTTCTTCATCTGTGCAGCTACTGTAGAGGGATGTGACTGACAAATTACATTCTCTCATTCGTCGATGGAGAGTTGCACGAGAGACACCTAAAATTTTTCTGATAGTTTCCTGTGGTAATCCAAGCTTCAGAAAATGGATTAGTCTGTCTTCCGATATATGGATTCTTGGACGTCCACATCCATCTGGTTTTTCAATCTCTACTACAGTTGCCACCTGCTGGCCTTCCTTGTGCTGCTGAATAAGAGAATCCAAGTCCATCAAACCTCTGACCAAGTCCTGTGAAATCCCAATGTTTGCTGACAAAGCAGTAATCAAAGTCACTTCTTGACGGCAAACAAACTGCAAGTATTCAATGTCCAGAGGCGGGTGTTCCAGAGCATAAGTCACTCTGGAAAGTAGTCTTTGGAGAACTTGTTGCCTCACTGTGTCCTATAATGCAATACCACAAACACAGGATATTTGGTCAATGCAATAAAATGTGTTCAGAATCAAACAGTGAAAGAAGAGATATCATTCCAACAATATTTTAAACTGTAGCATGATAGATCATGACATTACATGCTGCTTGTTTAATTCTGTGGCCATATAATCACATCTGATAGTTATGTGTACATTACATATTTAGCAATATACTTTATAGAATACCAGTTTTCTATAAACACACTCAGGGACTCAGTAGTGATACAGGAAACAGTGATTAAATTACATAGAACATTACTTGTTTTATTTTAGATATTATTACAATAATGCTGATGAGCACCACTTACCTGTCTTAAACTGTCCTGATCGTCCATTTTGAAGCGGTTAATTAGCCAGAATAGCGTGTTTGGTGCCTGGTCCCACACTGATTGTAAGGCAAAACGTGATTGGTTGGAGCGAGAACACGCTACGATTGGTCGGCGCCACGTGACCGGTATCTGATTGGCTTAAGTAGAAGGGGGTGGAGTCCATCCATTTGTGGATTGGTTTGCCTCTTGACGCTTGAAATGTCTCAAAATCCACAAATAAGCATGCAGCGATCTACAAATGCACAGGACGCGATTCACAAATGCACAGGACGCGATTCACAAATGAATGCCAGGCAAAGTTGTGTTTGTGACATAAAAATATATCTGTGAATATGTTTTTTATTTGCGAATCTCATTTTATTTTTTGTGTGAATTTAATTCTTGTTTGTGAAACTCTAAGATTTATTTGTGGATCTCATTCTATTTATTTATCAATACATTTTATTTTTGTTAATCTCTTTACATTTATTTGTGGATCATAATGTATTAATTTGGAATTATGCAACGATTCTACCCCCATACAACAGGCAAGTAAAGAAAAGTAGATGCAGAATGTCGCGCTTTTCAATAATTTTTTTTTGTTGAAGTCAAAGGCAAGCCAGTCTGCCTAGTTTGTGGGGATGCACTTGCAGTGATGAAAAAGGCCAATCTTGAGCGTCATTACAGCTCGA